CCCTTCTACACCAGACAGGTCAGCTAAGCTGTACAATGAACCCTTCTACACCAGACAGGTCAGCTAAGCTGTACAATGAGTTCTTCTATACCAGACAGGTCAGCTAAGCTGTACAATGAACCCTTCTACACCAGACAGGTCAGCTAAGCTGTACAATGAACCCTTCTACACCAGACAGGTCAGCTAAGCTGTACAATGAACCCTTCTACACCAGACAGGTCAGCTAAGCTGTACAATGAGTTCTTCTATACCAGACAGGTCAGCTAAGCTGTACAATGAGTTCTTCTATACCAGACAGGTCAGCTAAGCTGTACAGTGAACTCTTCTATACCAGACAGGTCAGCTAAGCTGTACAATGAACTCTTCTATACCAGACAGGTCAGCTAAGCTGTACAATGAGTTCTTCTATACCAGACAGGTCAGCTAACCTGTACAATGAGTTCTTCTATACCAGACAGGTCAGCTAAGCTGTACAATGAGTTCTTCTACACCAGACAAGTCAGCTAAGCTGTCAATGAACTCTTCTATACCAGACAGGTCAGCTAAGCTGTACAATGAGTTCTTCTATACCAGACACGTCAGCTAAGCTTTACTATGAACCCTTCTATACCAGACAGGTCAGCTAAGCTGTAGAATGAACCCTTCCATACCAGACAGGTTACTAAGCTGTAGAATGAGTCCTTCCATACCAGACAGGTTACTAAGCTGTAGAATGAGTCCTTCCATACCAGACAGGTTACTAAGCTGTAGAATGAGTCCTTCTATACCAGACAGGTCAGCTAACCTGTACAATGAGTCCTTCTATACCAGACAGGTCAGCTAACCTGTACAATGAGTCCTTCTATACCAAACAGGTTACTAAGCTGTAGAATGAGTCCTTCTATACCAGACAGGTCAGCTAAAAGAGAATCAATAGGCCTAACATTTGTGATTAAAAAATGTGCAGTCTACCCGATATAACTCAAGCGTTAGATCTATTGATAACCAAAACATTAGGTAACACATGCTATCGTGATGTGAACTGAGGCCTGCAGTTTTAAACAGGAGCTGTTTATCATCCCAGTGATAGGTTGCTGATGAGAGATGTTCATCTTCAGTGTGGAGATTTTTACCTCCGCCATCGAAGATGGACGGAGGTTATGTTTTCACCCCTCTGTGTGTGTGTGTTTGTCACCAAGGTTTTTCGAAAACAGCTAAATTGATTTAGACGAAAGTTGGTATATACTTGGACTATGACCCAACGTAGAAAGGGGGGGGGTATAGTTTTTGGAGGGTGAAGGTCAAAGGTCACAACAAGGTCACGAAAATAAAAAAAATCCCTATCTCTTAACGCGGGGATCGATTTTTCACACAATTTTTGCTCCGTCGCTCAGTTAAAGATGATCGGATTTTGATGAAACTTGGTGGAAATGTGTACAATATAATTTTCCTGCTAAAAATGGTCCGTGCCCGTTGACAACGACAGACACACGGATACATTTTCGTTTTTTTTTTTTTTTAAACCGAATATGATCAACGCTGCGTGGAGGGGGAGATGCGCTTTACTAAGTTCCAGCCCCTCCTCCAGTTTAATTTAATTTAATTTTTTTCGTTTTTGACTTTTTTGTTTTTTTTTTGCAAAGACATTCCTGCTTAGGGTAAAGGTTTAAATGTGAAACAAATTCTACCAACTTCTCACCTTTACAGTACGAACTACATGTGCGATGTTTGTCCAGCAGGTGCAGATACTGAGAAACACGTGCAACAGTGGGTTAAATGAACGAAACTTTGCAAGGTGTTGGTAAAAATGATTTAATATAATTTTCAGATATACATGTACGTCCTTTCCATCCCATATGGCCGCCATTATCGTGTGAGGCGAGTAGTTAGAATAAGAAAGCTGTTCGTTGAAAGTTAGAAATGGGTTTACCTTCAAATGTCCATTAGAAGTTCAAAAACTCCCTATTTAAAAGTATGATATTAAACTACCCGTAGCAGTTGGGCGTTATAATGTGACGGTCAATCCCACTATTCGTTGGTAAAAGAGTAGCTCAAGAGTTGGCGGTGGGTGGTGATAATTAGCTGCCTTCCCTCTAGTCTTACACTGCTAAATTAGGGACGGCTAGCGCAGATAGCCCTCGTGTAGCTTTGCGCAAACTTCCAAACAAACAAACAAACAAAC